CCGTTAAATGTCCGAGCGAAACGAAGCAAAATCTATATTCTACATCTGTGGAGCGATATTTCTTTTCCTAGGATGGTAGGAGAAGACTCATAAATGGTATTAACCCCAGTGACGGGTAGGTTTAGGGACGGGGTTGGGGTAGGTCATATATTTATATGTACATAATACAGTAATATAACGTTAAGTCAAAGGCGTTGATAAACACGCTGAAAAGCGATTATGCGTGTTGATAGCACGCCAAAAATGGAAATACGAATTGGCGTGTCATACATACGCCATTTCATGAGATCAGTCTGGCATTTTGACATATTTTTGACAATTCAATTGCAATAATCCTTGAAAGAGAGCTGAATTCGTGATCGCATGCTGTCTGAAAGGTGGCTATCTGCACACACACTTCAGGTCTACACTTCACTAGTAGCGCTTTGAGCTCTTTTTCCAGGCTTATCACACTTAATAACTCTTTTTAACATCAAACATGTCGCTGTGCGGATATATTTTACTCCATGCAGGGAGTGGAAGGTGGAAGCAGAGCTCTGTCACACATCCATGCAAATTATGAAATACGGCTCTTATTAGAATGCTAAAGTACCGATACTAATAAAATGTGGAACTGAACCATTTTTAATAGCAGGGTATCTCGAGAGCTTTTTAGTACCGGTATATTGTGCAACACTACCAAGACAATTTTTTTTTAATAATATGCACTTATTAGACTTTCACCAGGAAGACCAGGAATGTTAAGACAGGGTTTATTTTGGTTTCAAATCTCAGTTTTACTCCTAAACAAATGCTTCTGAGTCCAGTGCAATGGTTTGACTAAATCATCAAGAAAGAATCGTTCAGAAGATCACAACATCACTTTTCAAAACGCCTGCTTCTCTATTTTTAAATGTCACCTGCAGATATAAAGCAAGGCAAAACACATCATTTGTGTAACATCTGCTCGGTATTTAGCAACCCATTTTTAACACAACCCATTCCATGATTTGTCGCTCACAGGTAAGACAGAAATGACTTTCTAATTAGGATGAGTACATAACCCATTTTCACTGTTTAACACTTTAGACTGGGAAACAACTGACATATAAATGTGTTGGTCCACTGTATAATTCAGACATCATAAGTGGAGGTGAATGAAAAGGTAAAAACAGCATCAATACAGTCATAACTCCAGAGAAAATATGAGTCTATTTATAAGTGGTATTTGTAAGGTGGAGTTATTTTGAGAATCACTGTGAAACCAGCATACAGTCGTACTATGGAAGCCCATTTCCACCACATAAGAAAATCAAATCATGCTCTGGTAATTATATACTGTAAAATGTTGAAATTATGACTAGGATGTCAGAATTATGAGATAAAGAGTCAAAATTATGACTGATAAAAGTCGAAATTATGACACATTAAAACTAAATTATGACTTAAATTGAAATTGTCAGAATTGTGAGATGAAAAGTCAAAATTATGACTTAAGTCAAAATTTTGACATAAAATGTTGAAATTATGACATTCTAAATCATAATTGTAAGTTGAAAAGTCAAAATTATAACATCAATTTTGACCTTTCATCTCATAAATTCAACTTTGAATGTCATAATTTTCATGATTATGACAAAAGTCAAAATTATGAGTTATATGTCAAAATTATTACATAATTAATCGGAATTATAACTTAGAAGTTAAAAATTATGACTTAAAATGTCAATTATAAAATAAAAATAAATAAAAATTATGACAAATTATGAAATTAAGTCAAAATTTACATTAGTCAAAATTATGACAAAACACAATGAGATAAAAATTGAAATTATGACATACATTTTGACATAATTATGACTTACATTTTGACATAATTATGACTTTTAACTCATAATTTTGATTTAGTATGCCACTATGCCATAATTTCGACTTAAGTCATTTAAAATTTTTAATTTATAAATTTTAACAATAAATTTAGACTTTTTGTCAATTTTAAATTTTTAAGTAATAATTTAGACTTTTTAAGTCATAATTTGGACTATGTCATAACTTTTTTTTATCTCATAATTTACTTTTAAAGTGGTCATTTCGACTTTTCATCTCTTAATTATGACTTAGTGTGTCATAATTATAATTTTTTTTCTTATGTGGCGGAAATGGGCTTCCATAGTCATGCAATCATGACCTTTAACATGGATCCGGACCTAAAACAACAATAAAGGATCCGAATTTCACCAGAACAAAAACACTAAATGAAAGCTGGGATAAAAAAAGCTGCCCATTAGATGTAGGCTAGATGTAAATGCTCACTATTGTTATGAAATAAGTGGTTCTTCTCTTCTAAAAATCCCTGAAAGCAGCGTCATGCTAAATCCCTGTCACAGAGCCTGTGGATAAAAAATATATCTCCATCTCAATTATTACACGTGTTTTGAATGGCGAATGAAAGATGGGCCAGCCCAGAATTGATAAGTGGGCCACAGTGTTTTATGTCGGTTTATGTTATGCTATATTATCAACACGTAAGTGTAACTCAAATGCGAAGGACACTACAGATGTTTACATCTTCTACATTGAGTGGCAAAGAAAAGGATTCAACAAATGGGCAGCTGTGTGAAGACACTTACAGTTATCACAGGGAACTTTCTAGTATGTTTATCTACACTGACATCTAATGATCTGCAACTAACTGAAACATTCCTATGGTTTTATGTACCTTGGTATTACCATTATTCTATACAGTTAATCTTTCATAACTGAGGTATAATAAAGTACCCTCATGTATAATCATAAACAGAAGAATTGACTTTCTGTTGACTATTCTAATATCAAACCACATTTTAAATATAATATATAGTAGCAACACCGCTAATGTAACCTCTGATCCTCTGTCAAGTGACTTTATTGTTGTGCATTGAGGAATTTATTCAGTAAATGTGTTGCCATTGTATGTGTATGTCTTGTTTTTGGGTATCTGCCTCAATTGAGCACATACGTTTTTTTAATATGCATTTTTAAAATGTATGCGAATCTTGCCAGAATTTTCCCCAAAATGTGCATAAAAATAGGTGGATGAAAACTTAGCTAGTGATGCTTGACATTGCAAGTGACACCAATAGCTCTTTATATTAAACCTAGATAATAGTACAATTCTAATGCAATTTTTTAAAATAAATGCTAACAATAACAGACTAGAGTCTTAGTCTCCTCCTAAAACTGAAATCCATTTTGGTATCCAGGTATAGTTACAGCCTCTCACACGCACTGATGGGGGAAAGTAGATCATCTACTAATAAAAGGAAATTTCCCATGAGCCTCTTGGATCCAGCGAATCAAGCAACAGTAGCACAGGAAATAATTAAACTGATTTGGAAAAGCAGGGCACAAGACAAATGAACACAACAAGCCATCAACATCCAATCATGCAAGATGAAAATGAAACTCAAGTCATCTAAGATGTTAAATGTCTTGGCCAATGCATTGCACCATAACAATTTATTTGAGTCTGTCTTTGTCATCTCAAAATGTTTACTATAATAGATGAATCATCTGTGAGCTTCAGCAACAGTGAAATAACAATTAAAATCCTATTCTATCTTCAACTGAAATCCACAGGTATACAAATTGGCTTTGTATACGTTTTTGTTTTTTCTTCATTGGAATGGTAAAACTTAAAGGTTTTGGCATTTGCGAAAACAAATCATGGATATGATTCGAAAAGGTTAAATGGTCCTGAAAAAATAATAGTCACACTTGTGCTCCTCTGAATGAATGGGAAATTAATTTAATCTAGTGGAGACGTTTGGTACTGCGGCCAAACAAAATCTGACTGAAAGCAAATTTTTTGAGATATCAACCTCAAATTTGGAACACAACTTTTTTAGATTTATGGCTCTGATTTTCTTGCCATTTTAGAGTAAAACATGTTTTGGGAAAAAAACTATTTCATATAAAAATTGAAAATAGTATTTTTGTGCATTTTTCATGAAAATTTCATGAAAAACCTTTAAACTTTTTTTTTTTTTTTTTTTTTTTTTTTTCACTTCAGCACTAATCTGCCAAGTGTCTTCTTTAAAAAGACACCGAACTTAAGTCTGTGCTCGAAATAATTCAGGATTTAGCATTAATTTAATTTGAAAATTTCATTTTCAGATCTATGCTCAAAAAGTGAATAGATGGATTATACCTACTGCATAAATATGATAAATAGTCCCATAAAATCCCCTAGAAATACAAAATGTGAAATAAAAAACATTATCGAACTAAATAGTAAAATAAGTTAGTTGAAACAACAACAAAAAGTGGTCACCAGAGGGTTAAATACATACTGAATATTATTCAAAGCAAAATAAATATATAAAATAGTATTAAAAAATCACATAATTCCATCCATCCAAACAGCATGAACTATGGGGTTGCTGGAGCCTATTCCAGCATCTTGGGCCAAAGAAAGGAAAATACCCTGGATGAATGGCCAGTCCATCACAAAATCACATACTGCATAGGATATTATTTAATAATTTCAGACAGATGGGGAAGCTCAAAAATAGACACATGGTGTCCATCATCTGGTTCTTCTAGACAGTTCCATTGATTATTATGTAAGTGATCACATGTCCTGTGTGCACATGGTCTAAGAAGTTACCCAATATACAAACTCAGACATGTCCTCTATGGCGTATCAAAACTGCTTTGTTAAATGCTAATTTCTGCATTTTCTCCAGAGGAGCGGCAGGTTTTACAATATTAGCTAGTAAACCTTTTCTCTGCTTACATCATGAAGGCAGGTTTAAAGGCACAGCCCACCAAACTCAATGACTGTCTTACAGGAAGGGAGAGAATGAGAGAGAGAGAGAGAAAACTAGGGCACTATTATCTGGCCTCTTTTTCTTTTTCCAAGCAGAAGCAGAGATTTGTGGACAGCGAGCTGGAGTGAAGAGATAGCGTGTTGCCGTGTGACTTTTACGTTTCCCTTAGAAGTCAACTAAACCAAAGCATCAATTCAAGGGCAGAGGCACTTTTATACTACGGCACAAACTCAAAGCTCACTTATCTTCAACGTTCACCATGCTAGAGGACCAGAAGACCAAGGTGAAGATCACCTTCCTGGTTATCCTGGTGGGCATCTCGTCCATGTTGGCGGCAGTGGTGACGGACCATTGGGCGGTTCTGAGTCCCAGGGTGGAGCAGCTCAACACCACCTGCGAAGCGGCCCACTTTGGACTCTGGAGACTGTGTAAAAAGACTATCTTCATTGTGGAGGAAGACCCTGAGGGCAAAGGCTGTGGCCCTATCAGCCTGCCAGGAGGTAAGGAAGTTCACATCTACTGTAAGTTATTTCTCATGAACGCCATTAGCACACGTCCAATCGATGTAGCCCAAAGGCATGGATCTGTCTTACTCAGGAAGTTTTTGGAAGAGCACCTCATACATCTTAAGTTTTGTAAGTGGAAATTAAGGAGCAGAAGAAGCCAAGCCTACTATCATCTTACATGCAGTGCAAGAAAGTTCAAGGTGAGCTCTGCTGTTAAAGCTCTGCTGTTAAACATTAACCCACAATATGGGTGGGAGTCTGGTCTTCAAATTAAGGGTATACTATTTTAATAGCACTGTTTTGAATTGCTGAGTGAGGTCAGTGGCCAGGCTGCTAATGAATTGAACAGGTGCCGATTGGCTGTTTATGATGTCATTAGGTTGTTTAAGGCTATAATAGATAGGTTAAGATGATTTATGAGGCGATGTAGTTTTGGATTAATGGAAGGCATATGAGCTGTATCTGTATCTACCTGTGGGAGACGGGAAATAACCCGACTGTTCTTTACGCTACTCTAGGGACGGATCAGCCTCATTTCATTCCTGAGCCCTAGCTCATGAGGTCAAATAGATTGAGGAGAAGAAGAAAAGAGTATGAAAAAGTAAATGCAATTCACTCATATGACAGTAAAGACTGATGAAGACTGTGTGCATTCATTGACAGAACATTGAATGGCTGCCTTGAAACCTTCTGTTCCTGACAATTAACCGTCAACTGTGCTCTGCAAACATACTTATGTCAACATTTAAGTCTTGAGAAATACAGATGACAGGGTATAGATCAAATATCACAACAATTGATTAGTGAGTTTAAAGTGGATGGATGGAAGGAAGAGAGGGCTCTGAAACAATAGAAACAAGTGGAATGAACAGGTAATTGGATCCAGGTTGTCTCCTATTGGATGCAGGGGGCAGTAAGACCAGCATCCTCTATTTGTCACACTTCAGGAAGACCTCTGGGGATAAACAGAGAGATCACTCCCACCATGAGCTCTTGTGAATGTCTGGAGAGAATCTCATCCTTTAGCAAAGCCCCAAGATTTCACATCAACTACGGATGTTGATGGCAGAAGGACAGCGGCCTGCAGTATGATTTGGTTGAAATCAATATCTATCGCATCCATCGTTTATCCATCATAGTTACTTATCTTAGACGTGTTGACAACTCACTATTACAGGGCACTATATCTCGCCGTCCGGCATGTAGCATCAGCCTCAAATGCCATTGGACCATTTATGGACCTGATGACCATTCATCTGATGTGTATTTTACACAAAATGGAAAGAGCTTTCTTAAAGCAGCAAGCTCCAATCTGATTGTCTGGCTTTACTGGGAATCAAATCTTTCCAGAATTATTCCCAGGCACTACATTGAGAACTTCTGAGGAAGGAGAAGTCAAAGGTTTGCTCGCTTAGCTAGTTGCTTTGAGCTGAGATCTTTGAAAGGTCAAGACTTAGTAGCAAGTACATAAGATATCCTTATATACACCTATGTATTGCGCTTTACTCTCAGGGATATTTCAAATGTAGCCACCCCTAAACTTCATGTAAAAACAGTGATGGGCCAAGAGTGGGTGGTTCTTGACTGGAATAAGCTGCAGTGTGTACTAGACCTTATGCCGATAGTCAAAAATCTGCCTATGCAAGACTATCAATAACATAAAGAAGTATCCATTATTCCATCATAGATCTTAACTTTAATTTTAGAGCTCAGCAGTCAGAATTAACCAAATCTGTGGTTTGTCAAACATTTTCTGTATGACACTCCCTGCTGGAAAAACTAGCATAATTCCATGCTGGTCTAAGCTGGTTTACGCTAGTACAGTGTTGATCTAGCTGGTGGACAAGCATAGTCATGCTGTTATCAAGCAAAGATGAACTGGAGTAGCTGGTCCACCAGCACTACCACTTCCTGTGGTGGTGACCAGCAAACTAGCAAGCACCATTTCTTGCTGGTACCAGCATGCAAAACATACCTTATGCTGCTGACCAGCAATGCTGAATTTTTCAGTCGGGGACTGCACAGTCTGCACAGACTTTGCTCAAAGCAAACCCTGCAGCTCTCACTTTAGACCATTAGGAGATACGCAGTTCAATCAGGTGGTGGCTTGTAGTCTTGGGAGACACCTGTTGATATTGCTGGCCTAGTGGGAGAATTTGTGCTGGAAAAGGTTAGAAAGCAACTAACCTTGAGGCTCCACAGACACCTTACAGAGCGCAGCCGTTCTAAGTGACGTCCCGTGAGACAAGGTGTGGCCCAGTTCACACTAGTACTGCAAACACCATTGCCTGGGGAGTGGTTAGATTTGGATAGCCTCTTGAACTGCACAGAAGAAGCCATGAGCCAAAAACATAGCATTTAAGCAATTATATTCCTGCTTGCTCAATGATTCTTGGCTTCACTCCCAGACTTGCTTCTCACAGAGGGAAAAGAAGAACTGTGAGTGTTGGCGAGACTTCTTCAAGGGAATCAAGCATTTCACACTCATTCAACACTCAGGTCTGTTAAAATGTCTCTTGATCTTTCCAGTGGAGTTAATAATGTTAAAATAGTCAAGTGGCTTGAAACAACTTGAAAATGGAAAATTCTGATACAGCATTGAAGGATCTGATTGTTAAAGAACGGGATAGTTCACCCAAAAATGAAAATCCTGTCATCGTTTACTCAAGCACGCCAGTTGTTCCAAACCTGTATGACTTTCTTTCTTCTGTGGAACACAAAGATGATATATAGCCGCATCAAACGTGCCATGGCAGGACACTTCTCTCACGCAAAGTTATCGTATTCCTTCAAAACACCATACGAACTACCATTCTGAAACTTTAATGGTGTTATTTTGTCATTTGTGGAGCTTAATGGTCCTAAGTCACTGTTCACTGAATGAAAATGAGCTGTGTGAAGACCCACTGTGAATCTTCTTTTGTTTTTCACAGAAGAAACAACAAGAAGGGAATGACAATTTCAATTTTTGGATTAACTATTCATTTAGTACTTTTGTATGGCAGGTGTTTTTTCCTCTGTTGGTCCGCCAAACTTCTGCAAAGGCACGGAGGCCCCGGAGGAAGTCACTTCCCTTGTGTGACCCAAATATATAAGCACCATTAGCGGGTTAGCTGCTTTAAATGTGTCCTCCTCTCACATTGACCCAGAATCTAACGGTCACTCAGCAAGTTGACAAAAGAGGACACCTCTGTTTTCTTGAGCTACTGCTCCATATTTACTGGGATAAAAACAGCACAGCCACCTAATGGTGCTCGAAAACCTCACACTAAAGGCAACTTGTCAAGCCCAATGGTCTGTTTGCATGAGCCACTAAATGGAGCGAGCTTTAATCAAGATGTAAAAAACTAAAATGACAGCCACTGCAACCCAGCAATCGACCTCCTCCCTGAAATAAGTGCTTCCATTAACAAACCTGCGAGGTCAATGATACGCCCCAAATCGCTATTTTCGGCTCCTCGTTTTGCTCGGCGGTGCTGCTGAACTGAAAAGACTCATTCTGTTCTTTTTGAGCTTTAGGTACAATCATGCTGAAAAACAGATCTGCCTACATGCAGAGCAAGGTCGCATGGCACAGGTCTTACATTCGATAGGTGCCAGGGGGGAAAAAATGACAGATTTGTCAAGAGTTGCCCTTTTATCTGGAACTGATTCATGATCGTTCTGTCCTTGCATGTCTCTGTCAAATGTATGAAGGACGCTGACAGGCCTACTGAAGCAAGACAGGTAAAGAGGACATGAAGAGACATTCAGTGGCTTGGAAAACATAGAGGCATGTCCATGCATCTCCATGAAACCCTCTATTACCACAAAGGGCTTGAAACGCAATTAAAATCCAGTCTCACTTTGTGGGATGAGGGTATTGAAATGCTAAAGCATGGTTATTTTTCCCCAGACAACTGACCACGACCCAACACGTGTATTAGCCTACACATGGCAGTAAACATTACGGCCAAAGGCTCTCAGAGGCCCATTGAGAGATGAACTCATCCACAACAGCTTGCGCTAAGGGCCTGTGATGGGAATAGTCAAATAAGCTGAGTAAATCACAGTCTAAAGCAGCACAGCGCGATACATCCCATTCTCTCGCCTCAGTCAGTCTGCCTTTACTAATAAAGCTAAGACCAGCCTGTTGCTAGGTAACCTATAGATAGGCCTCCCCCACCCCTCACTTGTGGTGGAGATTTTTGGTCCAGCGTAACAAACAGCTCCTCTGTCAGTTCCCAATCTCATGTCTTTCTCCCGGCACAGAGGATGCTGAGGTTGCTTTATGAGTTTAATCTAAAGAAGAGGTTCCTACCGAATTAACTCTTATGTGAATTTCCCATTGCCCAGGGACGTATGAGATCATTTTGCGATTTTGTGGACTTGCAACCTGATGAACACATTGGTGAGAAGCTCATTTCTGGGGGCGAATATTAGGGAATTGTGCAACCAAAAGTGTTATGTCAATTTAGGGAGGGTGAAATAATGGTAGGAAACAAAGCTTCTTACATTTCATCAGCTAACCCCTGCCGAAAACAACGCATACATAAATACATCAAGTGCATCTTATTACAGAATCCTGTCATGAATACCAGCAAGAAAGCTTGCGCCACGTAATCACATGCCCTCTGCACATAATTCAGAATTCCTGATCCATTAAATGGACACACACGAATGCCTGGCTTGTTTTCGCGCACCCGGCTATGGACTCTGGAGAAAATGTCAAGCAGACTCATTGGTAGTTTGGCTGCATCGTAACGACAGGCTACGGCAGCACCTGCAACCCTCAGCTACAATAACTGTTTTCATCTTGTTTTGCAGTCAAGAACTGCTCGTACTTCAAACACTTCACATCAGGGGAAGAGGCTGAAGTTTTTGAAGTAAAGACTCAGAAAGGTAAGATACTCCGCCTTTGAAATCACGTGAGGATATTGCAAAGGCTTCCACTTAAAACCAAGCAGAGATTAGTGGATAAGAAGTAAACTAGGAATTTGAATGAACTCAGTTAAAGGACAAGTTCGGTATTTTACACTTAAAGCCCTGTTTTAAGATCGTTTCTGATGAAATAGAACGGTTAAGATTGAAATTTGGATACATGCTGCTGGCAACAGGTTTTATCATAGTCAACTCCATTGACTTGACTTGACAAAAACTATGATAAAACCCGTTGGAAAGCATCTTTTGCAGCGATTTTTGTGTGAGCATATCAGTGAACACCCCAGATCACTTTCACGTCGTTGTAAACTAAAGTTTAATGCGTTTTAGGAAGGATTGTTTCTGTGCACCTATGCAACCATTGTGGAGGTGGAGGTGGGAGGTGGTGGGGGGGGTTGGTGCAACCACAGAAACTGAAAAATTTCTCGGGACAGCAGCATGTGTCTAAATTTCAATCTTAACCGTTCTATTTCATCAGAAACGATCTTAAAACAGGGCTTTAAGTGTAAAATACAGAACTTGTCCTTTAAAATTTGCTGTGTACCGCACCGATTACACAACAGACAAGAAAGACACTTCAAATCTTACAGCTTGTTGAGTAGAGGTATAAGCCATCTTTTTATTTCTGCCCGATCAATGTCAAACAAAACCTGTGAACTTGCATCGAAGGAGTGACCCAAACCTTTTCTAGAAAGCAGAATATTAAAGAGATTTGGGGACAAACTTATTTTGATTTAGGATAGTAGCAACACTCTGAACACCCTAGAAAACTCATTACAACATGTTAAAAACTACAACTTAGCAATGCATAGGAACCCTGCTAATAGGGAATGTTCTCTGAACTTTGCGTTTTTCTGTTAACATTAATATAATGTTAGTTAACTTTAAAGACCCACTGAAGTGCCTTGAAACGCGCAGCAGTATTCAATGTGTTGATGTTATTTCCACTGAAACAGAAACATTTATATCACAGCTCAGCCAGAGCTGTTGAACTGGGTAAAGCCGCAGTTTCCTAATATCGCTTTAAAGTATAGAATTCTGTGCCGAATTAAAATGAGTTCGATATGTTTTTCTGGTCTGTGGTGACTCGATCATATAATCCGCTCTGTGATATCTTGTCTCTGGACTGGATCAGACTGTGTTCACGTTGCGGACATTAACGTGAAACCAGCCTTCTTTCACCCCAATGGAAAGCATATTTACACTGTCTTAAGTGGAGCTTCAGATTCAAAAGAGTATTTGAGTGGACAGAAAATCTGATGAGAAGCTAAAGTGCAGAGTGATGTCATCAAAATCATTGATCCATATTGGCGGAAGTGAGAGGCTGTACGTTTTGAACACTTACTGTATATTTTCTAAATGTGAATTTTGTTATTGTTTTGGAGCACACTTGCTTATAGATAACAGAAAGTCTAACATATTCATACACAAATCCAAAAAACTATAATAATAGACTTTAATAAAGTTCTCAAAACGATCAAAATCATTATTTATGCATAGTTCATGGAACTTTTTTTCTGAAACATTTTAGTTGGACATTCGTCTAATGCTTTTTAAATGTTGCTACTTGTTTCACATAACCAAGAACCCCCCCCAAATAAACTTTTTTTTAAACATTCAGAAGTAACATTTTCATAACTTAATGTTAATGTTAGCAAAAATGTTCTCAGAACATATTTTTGTTAACTGAGAACTTAAGCAAGTAACTCTCCTAAGATATAATTATCTAGTACATTTGTTATTATTTTGTAAAATATATTTGCTATATAGTCTTGTTCTTCTTAACGCTAGATCTTTGTCGCTCTCAGGTAATGTCCACCGATCACAAGCAGTGCAATCTGGCAACCAAATATGGCCGTTGGCATTAAATTTTCCACCTACTTGAGCAAAGTGCATCTTGGCTATTTCACGCTCTAGCTCGGTCATTGAGTTAAAGAGGAATAAAGCCTTAAATGCGACGAGACGTGAAGCAAAGCACGAATGCTTCATCGCCACACAGTTCCTGAGCCACATCTTAAAATGTCAATAGTCATTCACACTATTGATCTGTCTGTATTACTAATTAATGATGTTAAACGCAACATTAGTCTAGAGGTCAGGCTGATTAGCCATATAATCTGAATTAGCAGGGTAGATGAAGTCATCCTTCAATGATTTGATTGTGAGAACAAGGTGTCTACAGAGGTGAATGCGAGTTATTTTGGTAAAGGAACTGCATTTAAAACATTGATATTAATTACAAAGAATGAAACAGAAAAATAAGTAAACTTGATAAACCTACCAAAAACAAGGAGTAACAGTTAGCTTGTGTTGAAACTTCTCGCTAAAATAACTTGTTTTGAGTTCTGTTCTGGGACTTCAACAACATTTCTGAGTCTTAACCATGAAACAAATAAATAAATATCATTTTTAATTACCTATCCGACATCACAATGCACCCAATGCTACAATTGGTCAAATTAAAGTCTTTCTTTTTCAGTTAGCATGCTAGCAGATTAGCATAGCACAAATGTATTAATTGTGATATATTTGTACATCAGGTTTAAATCAATAACAGACTCTTCACTGGCGATTATCCTGAGCTGGGACGTCAAAGGCAGCAGATAAAAAGAAAAGTTCAATGTCAATATACAAAAGCAGGGCAACTTTTGTACATTGACAGGATTGCGAGACAATATGCGAGGACAACCTTTGTTCAATGTAAACTGTCCCGTTCTGGGAAAGGATAAATCTTGTGAGAAGTCTGCAGAATCGAGGGCTCTGAAAGAGATTCTCTGTTACACCTGAATGCATATCTGAAGATATGTTTTTTAAAGCTTGATCTTGCTTTGATCCACACTCAAACTCACTGTGTGATTGTCTTCTGTCAGAGTACAACATCTCAGCCGCTGCTATCGCCATCTTCAGTTTGGCCTTCATGACGCTGGGCAGTCTCTGCCTCCTGGGGGCTTTTGGGAAGGGTAGAGACTACCTACTGAGACCAGCTGGCATGTTCTTTGCTTTTGCAGGTAAGCACAATGTTAAGCTGAGTTTATACTTTCTTGAATTTTTATAATGGTTTGAATGACTCGACAGTCAAGAAAACACTCTCGACTAATCAAACCACGAACGACGTGCTAAGTGAGCTGAACTGTATGAATGGCGTTCGTGGTTTGATTAGTCGAGACTGTTTTCCAAAGATGGCTCCTGTCTGTACACGAAGTGGACTGTCTTCATAAAATATCTTCTTATTAAACGGTCTGTACACTTACAAAGTTCTCAATGCTTCGCTTTGCATGTAGGGACCCTCATTATGTTACTGTGTTCGTGTAGGGCTATTTTGAGCCTTGTTAGTGGTATAAACTAGCGATTTCTTTTTACTTAATAGATGCCCCCATTACTAGCGTTATACGCTAAACAGTTTTTAGAGATAAAACTCTTTACATTCGATTATCATGAAAACAAATCTCAGAGAACGGTTGACTAGGTACCAATGTTTTATTAGACCAAAGGTTCATTTTGCGCCGGAGTTCTCCTTTAACTGACATTATTACAAAGTGCACTTTATAAATGTCTACATAAGTGTGTTACAGTCTCTAAGTGCACTTAAGCGGCCTTTTATTACCTTAATACATTACATGCAAGTAGAGTTTTTCTGAAAATAAACGTACACTACAAGTCCACATTGAATAGAACTGAGCACGCTTCTTTTTTTCACAAGGGCGAATTTTACACATTAATGCAGTAGCAGTTTAACAGTCCACCAACTGGTCAAGTGTCTTGCAGGTCAAAAGCATTTAAGAGCATTTATAAAGGACTTGCGGGATGGTGTAATTTAATGCTGGTGAATCAATAGTTTAAAACCCCCAGACACCCACCCTCTTGATTCTCCATTTAACCCGTGTGACCTTCCTCACCCTCACAGGCCTGTGTATCGTCATCTCCGTGGAGGTCATGAGGCAGTCGGTCAAACGCATGATCGACAGCGACGAGACCATATGGATCGAGTACTACTATTCGTGGTCCTTCGCTTGCGCCTGCGCCGCCTTCACCCTCCTCTTCCTCAGTGGCCTCAGCCTCCTTATCATCTCCATGCCACACATGCCCAGAAACCCCTGGGAGACCTGCATGGACGCCGACCCGGATTCCATAGACTAGTATAGCGTCCACCGCAGAGTAAGAGCGCAACGCAACTGACACAGGAGTCATACTAGCAGTGTGAATGACAATGAGATGCATTGACGCATTGCATTTATAGATGATGATAGTGATGCATTGATATTTTTAAGACAGACGTCTAATTATTTCCAAGGGATAGGTTATCCAAAAATGTTTTTGTTTTTTATTTGTAAAGATTCTTCGAAATTTCGCCATTTGTGTTCCGCAGGAAAAAGTTATACAAGTTTGTAAAGACTTGAAGGTGAGTAAATGACAGAATTTACATTTTTGGGTGAACTATCCCTTTAAGATCCACATCTAACATGAATTTTGAATGTTTTATTGTATTCAGAAACCATTTTTATTTGCATTCACGCTTATATGCAATAGATGACAGCTTAGAATGTATATTAAGAGACTTTTATAAGTTTCCAATCTGTCATTCCTGAAACGGTGACATTAAATGTGCTGATGGATGAATGTAAGAGCATATTGGATCTGCAATGATATCCAGTGATGTATGATCAGTTTCAGGAAATTGCAGATTGCACTTTAAAGTGAGGTAATCGAATTACGTTACTAGTACAGGTTCATAATTCCCAGGTCATTTAAGATGTGATATATTCCTTTAGTAATGTCACACTTGAACTTCCCACTCTTGAGTGAGTGAATCTCAGTGATCCTCAAGAAAGACTGTTAAACATTGTATTTGTTGATGTTTTTACTATTGAAACAGGACGTTGGGGACATGCTGAAGATCATCCTTTTTTTAAATAGCCAATAGCCTTTCAAAACATGATTTACTACTTGCTATTGTTAGATTGTATTCATAATTAAGAGGGAGAGATATTCTCAATCTCATTTGATTGTATGTATGGTCCATTTTCCAAGATGAGGAGGATATCAAATGTATCTGCTTTATGTTATCAAGGATTGTACAACTAATAGATGGACTGAAATCCACAAAATGTTCATTTAAATTCATATAGGCCTAAGCATACTCAGTGAGCTTATTTTGCTATCTTTGTGATTTAGCGTTATCCTTGAGGATATTGAATTTGTAGAGATGCGGTGTTTAAAATGAACACAGTCACCTGACACAGGGATGTTTCAGTGATAGACAGAGACACAAACAGTAACGATGGCGTCGTTTTTATCATATCTACTCGAGCGCGAGTCCACAATCTTTGGAAGTGCATCAAAGTGGATTTGTTTTGTCAGCGAAGAAAACGTCTCTACATGTCGACAACACGAACCCAACTCTTCCAGGCCTCTGCAACAACTACAGTTTTTGAGGGTCAAAGTAGACGTCGCTTGCAGGCAGCCAATGAAGACGACTCGTTTCGACAATTCGCTTTAAGCATGGTTACTTTCTGGTTTTCGATAAGCCAGCTCGGGCATTTCCGGTGAACATTCAAAAGGAAAGAAATCAGGTGAAGAAATCAAAAGGTTATGGCTGTTGTGTCGCTGTGGTAATTTTAACCATTGTTTACAAAGAGAATTTGCTTTTGCAGAGCAGAAAACGGTGTCTTCTCGTCATGTACACTACATGAACCAGCTTTGAGGGTCAAAGTCAAAGTAGTTAGAAAATATATAATATTAAGCAAAATATTTAGCCTTTAACTTTACAACTTTGCAGACCGTTTAGGCAACATTCACAGACAACCATATTACACCGTGCATGAAAGGTAATATATGGGTGATTCTTCAACTATGGTACTCTTTGAGCTAGACAGTTTCAGAAAATAAAAACATTTCTACAAACAGTTTTTTAGTATCATTTGGTTTCTCAATCTGTCTAGAAACCTTCCCTTAAGTTGGCTGTGCTGATTTGTATTGAATAATATATATATTTGCCATTTTTATCTGACAGTCCAAGAAAACGGTCATTTCCATCACATAGCAAAACTTGTGTTTTGAAGAGAAAATAATTAAATATCTTCTGTAATAAATATATTTGATTAAATAGCACACACATCTCTGATCAAATTTGTAATTGATTTATTTTTCAGAAATGTAACTGTAAAGATTTTACAATGTTTACACTAAAAACACCTAAAACTAGATGCCTGGAACATTTCATTTACTTAATATAGCTCAAAATCATGTATTTCTTAAAGTGTATACACATATCTTACCCCTAACTGCACAATTATCAACACCACTGAATATAGTTGGTTTGATTGTATGTTTTTTATATGTTTTACTTTAAAATATGTGTTGTGGTGGAAATGACATGGCGTGGCGGAAGAGACAGTATGTGGCGGAAATGACATAGATAGGCAACTTCCAATTAAAAACTCTTTTTCTACTGCTCTATGTGGTGAACCAGAGCAAACCAATAAGCAACAGCATTAGTAAACAAAAACATATCAATATTTTTAAATGAAAAACAATCCAAAAATGAAAAAAAAAACATGAATATGTGTTAAAAATCAGCAAATCATTTATTCACTGCTTTCTACAAGCTGAACTTGGACAAACTAGTTCAAATTAGAGCAAACCCTTTATGACATCATTACCTTAATATAACCTTAATATACACAAGACACAATACACAACCCTCAGGGTCCACATCCTGTATAATGCCAGGGTAAGGATCCCTATCATACCGTACCACACACCAACTTCCAATCAGTCCCTCACACTGTCAAAAATTGCTGTAATAAAAGGGCAAAACTTTGACAGTAACATGCTAGTTTCCATTAAAACAGCAATATACTGTAGAAAAAATGCATTCTGGGTGATATATGTAGTTTTCGAGAAAGTAGCCTACAGGAATATACTGTGAATTAACAGCGCGTGTGCTTAGAATTATAAGGTTCTTTCTCCGTTTAGGGAAGTTCTGAGATATTGAGCATCAAAGTTTTTACATCCCTGCTGGTTTGTGAGATGGAACCTTTTTATTTTATTAATAACTACTAACAAAATATATTTTTTTTACAAAAATAACACCACACAGGCATTAATAAACACCTAATGGATAAGATTATGTCAAAAACTCAATTTCGACCAAAAGTGGAGATAGAACCTTATAATTCTAAGCTCACGAGCGCTCAAAGTCAACACTCAGAGACTGTGTTCCAAATCACACCCTATACCCTTATTCACTATTCCCTACATTAGTTCACTAATATAGTCATTTGACTGAGTGATTAAAACAAGTGAGTTAATTCAGACACTGATGAACACCTGCTGTTAACAAGCAAAATCACTGAAGGAAAGAGGAACAAGAAGAACAGAAAAAAGATTAAATCAACTGAAGATAAAAGACATTAAATCTGTGAAGATCTCAGCAGAGGAGGATTAAACAACTCCACAAACAGCATTACCAGCTTTACTTATTACTATCCAGTTTGACTTTATGTCTGACGTCTACAGAAGTTCTTATTAAAAGGTGACAGAGGTTTAGATGTAATTTTATTTTCATTTGATGTTACCATGATGGTGATCAGTGTTTGGTTTAGTTGGGCTTTTGACCCTTCACTTTTGAACATTAGTTTTTCTTTGGCAGTGGTAACAGTGTTTTTTAAATACATTTGCTATTGGAAAAGAAAAACTGAAAGAAAACAGGATTAGATGACAGTGACTATTTGTTAGGGCTATAACGATACACCAAACCCACGATTCGGTTCGTATCACGATTTTTGACCCACGATTTGGTTAGTATCACGATTCTATAACGGGGGCGGGGCTTAGGGGTGAAAAAAAAAGATTTTGAGAGAAAGAAAATATATTTTTATTAAATAACATCTGAAAACCCTGTGTAAACTTAACACCAAAGAACAATATTAACTATGCAAATTATTATACTAAACTAAGCAGTGTAGGCTGCTGATTTTGGGTTTGCTTTCTGTGCTTCAACTAAATTGATTTCGGGATGGTGCCGTAAGATATGCATCTGCATGTTGGACGTGTTGCCGGTCATTTGAGGAAGCTTCTTAAAACACTTACGGCAAATTGTGTGGGTCTTGTCAGTAGATCCAATGCTACCACATCTTTAAATTACTATTAGTATTATTTGAACTTAACATTATAAAATATGTAGACCTACGCCACAAAACTATTGAGGATCAATTAAAATTGGGCAATTTCAGCGTTATGGACGTGACATTTGCAGTCAAAACTTGAAATATAAATTCTCAGAAAATGCATTTAATACCAATATATTTTTATAAAAAATAATAAAATATTTCCTTACTACCTTAACTTAATTAAATGTTTTTTTGCATTTAAATTTTAGTATTATAGCCCAAAATAATTTGCTGTTTAGCATGAACAATGTCATTTCCACCACAACCTGTCTTTACCATCACAATGAACACCGTGGTGGAAATGACTGTGGTGGAAATGACATTTCCTCCCTTTCCCTCTAAAATATCATGCTATGTTAGCCTGCTAATATTCATTTTAGAGTTAGCATTAAATATACACAAATTACACATCATTAAATTAAATTTATCCAGTTATTTTTACGTCCATGTGAAATATGAGCCGTTTGGAAATGACGACCAATAAACATACTCTCAGTTTTACTCATATTTACCTTGATTTTTCTTCTTTACATTACCCCCTAAAGAGGTCACCCTTTCACCCAGCCATGTGTTCCACTGTGGAGTTTCTGTTGCTATGGTTACTAAGTAAACAAACCTAAAACAATGATCCCAGGATTCTATTTTGTACTGTGTGGTGGAAATGACAGTGAACCCAAGGGACAGGGGTTCTACTTATGAAAAATATAGGAAAATGTTAATAAATATTGCAATATATAATATGTATAATTGAAATAGATATTATTTTATCATTTGTACTTAAAATCTACATCATTTAAATATTTAATTTAGAATTAAGCAAGGTTGAAGGTACAAAGTCTGGCTTAGGGACAGAGGCAAAACAGTAAAAATCATGCATAAAAGGCCTCATAATATATAATAAAAAGAATGATTGAGCCATGATACATTTTTTATAAGTTCCCCTTAAGGTGAAGTAAATGTGCCAAAAACAAAAAAGAAGAAATGTTTTTTAGATTTTATTATTTCATCCAGGGACAAGAAAAGTACCATAGTTAAAGAATCACCCATATATAGGAAAAGAAGCATAATAGGGGGACTTTAATATGGCATG